TACAAAAATTAGATAAGTACATTATTGATTCCAACATGTAAACATTGCACATTCTTGCAATTTCTACGCTTACTCAGTAGTCACACTATTACTAGGGCTGCTCACCTTTCCAAGCCCAAACAATGTCTTTCAAAGCCGGTCTCATATCATGTTCAACCTTCTGATACTCGAGAGTATCACCATTGGTCTTCCTGATTTCCACCAGATGAAAATTTGGTGCAATCTGAAATATCTCGGTATCTATGGACATTACGCCTTTCCTTCCTGGTTGCGAGCTCTGCATCTTCAACAACCCACCGTCTCTCTTAATGAGTCTTAGCCGCAAGCGCTTTGCAATGTCTTCAAGCTTTGTGATGATTGTTGCAGCTGTGTTGGTAGATGTGAATTTTGACTCTTTGTTGGACTTATCCTCAAACATGCCAGAGAGATCAAACCCAGAAGAAAGAGAAATGATGTCAAAAGCATTCAAGTTAGTGAGCTCTGTTGCTTCTTGTATTGTCTCGGTCGTACAGCTACTGAACGGATCACAAGTCGGATCCATGTCAACAGCAACAATGCCCTCCGTTCGTGTGTTATAGGTAATCAGTCCCTTGTCAAGGCCTGTCCGGAACCAAGAATTTTCCAAGATCTCTGAAAAGGAGATCCGTGTACCAGGGTTCGGATCAAGAATACGTCTCAGAAGCCTCCGGGCATCTGAAGAAAACCAGCTTGGCCATTTGAGCTCTGCTTTGTAAATCTTCTTATACATGTCCATCAAATTCTTGTCCTGAAAAGGGAGATAACCAGCCAACAATACATACAAGATGACTCCACAAGCCCAGATGTCAGCTTTTGCACCATCATATCCTTTCTTACTAATCAGTTCCGGAGCAACATATGCAGGGGTACCACAAGTTGTGTGAAGCAGCCCATCTTGTCTCTTGCATTCTGCAAGTGCACTCAAACCAAAGTCAGAGATCTTTAAATTGCGGTTCTCATCAAGAAGAAGATTTTCAGGCTTCAAATCACGGTGATAGACGCCTCGGCTGTGGCAGAAGTCAACTGCACTATTGAGCTGTTGGAAGTACTTGCGAGCAACATCTTCTTTCAGCCTTCCTCGTTGGACCTTGTTGAACAGCTCGCCCCCCTTCACATACTCCAGCACAAAAAATATCTTGGTTTTGGTGGCCATCACCTCATACAATTGGACAATGTTTGGATGTTTCACCAACTTCATTACAGATATCTCTCGCCTTACTTGATCCATAAGCCCGCACTTGAATATCTTCTCTTTGTCAATCACCTTGATGGCAACGCTCTGTGAAGTCTTGAGATTACGACCATAGTAAACTTTAGCAAAGCTCCCTTGCCCCAGCAGTCTTCCCATCTCATATCTCTCCATCAAGATATTTCCCTTCTTCTCTGCCATCCTGGCCAGATCTTATGTACACAAAAGGCAGTGATGTTGTAACTTGAGGTGATCAGAACTGATCAGGGGCACTCAATGATGTGGACAAGACCTGCAGATGATCAATTCGTTTCAACCATCTTCACCAAGATGGTAGGTGGTCCATGGATCATCCTGCGTATGCCCATGGAGCAACTGTTGTATTTCAGTATCTTCAAAAGCTAGACTGCCAGTTCCCAACCAAGGTAGCCCTCTAGCACGCATGCACATCTTCCGGCATTCCTGTGAAGGAGATATTTTCCTTCGCACTGAAAGCCTAATACTGCGAGGAAATACATGAATGATTAGGTACGTAGCTACTAAATAGTTTATAATTGTTTTTAATATAAAGAAAAAAAACACTTGAACGAGGCAAACTTTCCAGTTTTTATGCATATGAATGGTATTTATTATTTTCCAGAAGAATCCAAAAAGCGAATTCTTGCCTCTTAAAGAAAAAGAAAAGAAAAATAAGGGCAAGCACTAGCAATCTTGTTGCATAGATTAGATTTCTTAGAGCATCTCCAACGGCCGCACAAAAATTTCGCGCCCAATAAAAGTTTTAGCGCCCCATTGTAGTATTTTTAATGCGCCGGGACCAACATTGCTTTAGCAGGTGCACAAATTATGAAGCGCGCGCAATCCGGAGTCCAAAATATGCTGCGCGCGATAGCGTTTTTCAGCGCGCGCTCTAAATCTTTTAGCGCTACGGCGTCTGCTGGAGCTGTTCCGTGCCAAAAAAACAAACTTTTAGTGTGCAGAGCTTTTTTTGAGCGTCTGTTGAAAATAGTCTTATGAACTATGATTATTTTCATTCATCTTTTGGTCTGAACTATCCAGATGTGTGTGTTTCTCGTTGCCTTGAACAAACATATCAAGGCAGAGAGAGCTGCATGATATGGAACATGATCTGTGAACATCACATCCTTGTTCTAGAAGAGAAAACTATTTGTTCTAGAACATATGGCAAAAGAAAATGATCTAGTTACTGGGTCCCGTTCATGCCACAGTCATCTAGTACGTACAATTGCAAACGAACAGAAAAATATCTGAAAAGCTCCAAACGCTTGCAGACAAAAAAAACTCAACAATTTGTACAGTACCGACCAAACAAATCGTTCAGATATTTAGCGGAACAACAGACAAAGCTATGCATGCATATCTACGAAAAATAACAGATCCGAATCAACGGAATTCAAAAGAGTACTTCGGCGGTTGTGCAATCACTAGTATTATGGGTACGGAGAGCCAAGGAAAGATGCAATTAAAACGCTGAGGTTTCTACAAGATACACGTCAAAGTTTCAAATCCTTGCTGCTCCTAACCTCTTGAGAGATTGGAACATACCAAAATCGTAAACCGAGATTAAAATCATAAAGCATATATTAAAGGCAAACATATTATGCGGTAGAAAGCTAGAAACATACTTGATCCAGACTGGAATTCTATAGACGCAGAGGAGATTAGAACCGCGCCGGTAGAAAAGCCATGAAACAAAGTCTTGCAGGAAGGTTCTGAGAAGAATCGAAGATGAGCGGCGGTAGTGGGAGAGTGGGGAGGAAGAAATAGTATTGGATGCGCAAATACCACGCTAGGAGGTATTTATAGGCGCTCCACGGTGGGATCTTTCTCCGATTCCCGAAAGGGTGCCGACTTTGCACCCGCTGAACAAGGGTCCCAGCAGGGGCTAGTTCGTCAATATTTACTACTCGTATTGTTTTGCGTTCTTAGCGGGTCAAAAATACTTTGTTTAGTCGCCTTGCATCACAAGTCTCATTCGAAATGGAAAGAACAAGGATTTGCACTGGCTCTATATTGGACGCTTCCTCGGGCCCCGATGTGATGATCAACCTCGCCACTAGGCGATTGCGAGGCTCCGGTTTTCCACGGGCTCTCAAATTTTTCGTACAAACATTTGTACTGGGAAATAGGCTCTCCATATTCTAAATATTGATTGTATCAGATGAAATTTCCATTTCGATACAAATATGTTCAGTTGATATTTTGGTATTGAGAGCGTGCAAATTATATAGTCCTTTTACATGTAAATCCTTGTTCTTTTACATGTAAACATTTCTAGCATTTACGTCGGCTATCTGCTTTAATTACAATGGCATGACCACATGTCTAGAAGGAAATTAAGGGCATCTCTGGCCAATCCTTCAAAATCAGTTAGAGAAGTAAAGATTTGGTTTTGGGGGCTTGAACCGGACGTGGCCGATTTCTTATCGATATTAGCCCCTAAAAACCTTTACTCTTCTCATCGGCCGCCGCTTATATTTACTTGACCGACCCCACTTCTTAGGAAAAAATCTCCTCCCAGCAGCCACCTCTTTCCGCCTTGACCACATCCACTCCGACGCCGCCCATATCCACCCCGCAACTCCTCCC